TAATCTGCGAATTTCATTACATAAAACTCTTTGTTGTTGTTTGTTTCTTTCGGAGTCAAACATTTTTGAAAATTCCTGTGTAAACCTTTTCCAGTTTGATTTTATTTCTAGAGGTAGTACTGAAAACCATTTTTGGGCTGCGCCATCTAAGGTTGTTTGTATTAACGCTGTGCGTCGATGTATCCAATTTTGATGTAGTGGCGTATTAATTGGTTCAGGTCCAATATTTAAAATCAGGTTTGCTGTTACTGCATTTAAATAATCTTCTACAGAGTATTCAGGGTCTGTTCCTGTGAAAACCATTAAAGGTTTGTTTGATGTTATTGATGATCCACCCATAAGGTATGGATTCATTGTCATTTGTAATGATTCTGCTGCATTTGGCATTTGAGAAAAATTTGAAAGTTGGTTTCTTGTTATTTCATGTTGTTGGAGATAATATGGGAGTGGTATTTCATTTTGCATTTGTGATGGTTGATACGAGTGTGCAGTCATTGGATTTTGTTGTTGAATTGGTTGAAAAGATTGTGTATTAATTAGATTTTGTTGTTGAATTGGTTGTTGATGTTGTGCATCTATTGGTTGTGGAGAAAAATTTCTATGATTTGTACGTGTTTTCTGTATTCCTTGTCTACGATATTCTTGAGTATTTGGTGCAAATATATCTGGTTGTAAGAAATCATCATCTGAGGATAAATAATCCATTTGATAAGATGTCTGTTTTTTATTTTTATTTTGTTGAAAAAATGGGTAATTTTCACTGTGATCCTGTGGAGGATTTGTTTGGAAATTTATTGATTTAGGTTGGGTCATTGGGTTATCCCAATTTCGAGATCTTGTAGGTTAAAATTTCTTTGTGGTTGGTTATATGTTTTTGATGGATGTGTATAATTATAATTATGGTCTGCAAAGTTGTTTCTAGTGAATGTTTTGCGTGTTTTTGATGGTATTGTCATGGGTCTGTATGTTTGGTAATCCATATGTGAATATTTAGGAGCAACCGAAGGTTTAACGGTTGATTGTAAGGTTACCTGTGTTTGTGAAGGATTTGTATTTCTTGGTGTTGTTAAATTTGGGCGTATTGGTGAAATACTTTGTTGTGTAGTTGTTGTGTGTACAATTTCTTCATTTATGAAGTGTGATGGTGTCTGGATATCTTGTTGAGTAAGATTCCTAGTTCCATTGAGGTTTTCATTGTGTATAACTGTAGAGTTTAAACTGTTATTTTGTGTATCGGGCAAAAATGTATTATAGTTTAATGGTGTTGCATCAATGGTGAATGGTATTACTTTTACATAATCTCTTATGTAAGATATCGTACTTATTGCTTGACTTGAGATTGTTTGTGGGAAGCTTATAAATGCGGGATGAGACCATTCGGGGTCCCAAACATAATCTGATTGTTCTGTGATAGCGGTATCATCGTTCGAGTTTTGGGGTCTAAAATTTTTTCTTGCTTGTGCAATTAAATCAATATTGTGTGTGAAATAATCTATTATGAACCATGCCAAAATTTTTTGTAGATCGTGTTTTGTATGTTGTGAAACGTCGTCTTTCGTGAAATTTTCTTTAATGATGTTTAAATAACTAGAGAGTAGTGTGATTTCATGTCGTACTTTCAAATGTTTAGATGTTTCTGTCGGTGAGACATTTGTTATTGGGATTTCGTTTTCTAATATCGAAATATAACTATATATTATTGCGAAAACTTCATTGGTGAATATGGAGTTTGCTCTTTGTGAGTTATGATATTGGATGCTTTTTATATATTCTGAAAAAACTTTTGAAAATTCTAAATCAAGATCGTCTGTTTGAATTGTATATTTTCTATTATTATGGTTTGGTGAGGTGAATTCTATGGAGTAGATTCCATACTGTTGTGTTATGTTGCATATATCTTTTAAGTAGTGGTCTATGATTTGTCTTTTGATTTTTACATCTGGGAACTCTGTTTTACATGGACTGATTCCGGGTTCAAATAAATTTAATAGTAATTTTTTGCAAAATATATGCTGTCCTCTATCAGTGGTTGCATCTACTATAAAAGGAAAGATTTCATCATCATCTGGACTTTCTTCACCTGGGGTGTGCGTTGAGCTCATTTTTTCGTTCGATGACTGTTAATATGTAATTATTAATGTGTCGAATTGGTTGATTCCAATTGTATAAATGTACTGGTTTGTGTTTATACTGCTTTTTTATTCTTCTTTTTCCTCTTTTTGATGAATTTGAAGTTGTTTCTGAGTCAGAAAAATATAATTGATCGTGAAGTGGGCAATTTTTATCTATTGATTCTTTTAGTTTGTAAAGTTCGTCTAAACTGTTGGTTTCTGATTCTGAAAATGCGTTTCGATTTTTTGAAAATCTTTTTCGTGTTATTTGTCTTTGTTTCGTTATTATTTTTCTTTTTAGTGTTTGTCTTTTTGTTCGAATGTATCCAACTGTTTGTGTATGAGGTGTGATTACAAGGTCGTATTTTTTGTTATCTATTTCACAATTGTGTAAAACGATTGTTTGTTTATTTCCTAGGTTTTTAAATGACGTAAGGTTTAGGATGACGGATGCAAAAGGTTGTTAAATGGTTTCTATTTTCTTAAACTGTTAGTTCTTACGATTTTTTGGTTAGCTTAACCTGGGTCTATTTGTTCAGGGTTGGAGAGAAAAGTATATCGATTCCGAAGAATGATTTTTTACTTTCTCGTGGCTAGTATAAGTTAAGGTGTTAACTTACTTAATCTTACTTAGGGGTAGTGATTGTGTTCAAGGGTTGGAGAATAGTAAATCGATCCACAGGGTTCAGGTATAATTAGAACGCGAGTAGTTCGTTAGATACTATTTTAAACTTACTAAGTCTAAGATTTATCCTGGGTCTGGTAAGAGGGGGGGTCAAGTGAAGGATGAATAACCGAAGTTCTTCACTGTTTATCCTAATTTGAATGATTAGTTTTGTTTAAAAATTTCTATTAGTCTTAGGTCTTTAGAAAGGGTTGGGTAGTGAATCGACGTTTGAGGTCGTTAGACACTAATTAAGTGGGTGGGGGAGAACAAAGTTGTTCTGTTTGATCCAAGGATAAGCCTTGATGATCAAATTTGAAATTTAATTAAGTAGAAAATGATTTAAGATCCAAGGATAAGCCTTGATGATCTGGTTTTAAAATTAAGTGAATTTAAGTTTTAATAAAATTTTAAATGTGTGTAAAGGAAAGATTTAGTGTTTTGATGATATTAGTGGGTTTATGATTGCTGTTATGTTTTAGATGATGGAGCTGGAACAACAGGATGATTTATGATTACTAACCATTTATTGTCATGCTACTAATTTTTATTTTTTATTTTTCAATAAATATTTTTCAAACATGTTTTGTATATTACTGCAGAGTTTTAGGAAAACGATCTTAGATCTTTTTATCAATCGTTATTGTATATTAATAATTTTGTTTAGCGCCTGAAATGATTTTGAAGATTAACTTCAAGGTTTTATGTTTGCAAATGAAAATCTAAATTCATTGCCAGTAGTATTCTAAATATAAAAGTTTGTTCTGGTTTTTGCCTAACTATCATATAGCTATATGGCAAGTTTCTACTTTGTCGTATGTCGTCTCTGGTTCGAGGTCTTCTTCCAATTCCGGGTAGTTCTGTTATGGTTCGGAATATTGGCTCTGATCTATTGAGTCGTAGAGACATTTCGATTAAATTATTGTCGTATAACATTTTGTAAATGTTTTTGTCTAATTTCTAATCTATTTTGGTTAATTCTAAGCTATTAAGGTCTTGTTCGAGACTTATGGTCGCACCAGATGAGTTAGGACCGAGTTGGTTAACTCATAGAGTAATTTCGGATAGGGTACACCGTCTGCTCGTCACGCTATCTTATTTTCGGCCGGATAGATTCGTGCAACTTCTTAGTCTAATACCGATCCTAATCTTACTCTTATACTATCTAGTCTCAGGTTGTTTAACTAGTCTCTGCTAGGCTCAATAGATCTAGGGTATACTGGTTTATTGCGGCTGCTGAAGTGCTCGGGAGAGTCCAACTAATTTCTAAGTTAAATTCAAATCTCTCTGGTGCTGAAATTACAAGTAACTTCAGCACTTACAAATAAGTGGGTTGTTAGTTAGATGGATCATGATTGGTTAATATTAAATACTTTACATTGGTAAAATATCTAAATTATCCAATCATAAAATGTAGTCTAGATCAGGTTCCACTGAAGACTACATGGTCGGAAAATTCTGTGCTACTCGCAGACCAATTAGTAAAAAAAATTTTTATTTGTCTATCTAAACACTAATAAAACTTTGAATTTTTACGAAATAACCGTTGAAGAGGGCTTACAGCTGCAAATTTTCAATTAGAGAATTTATCATTGAAACTGTGTAAGGCACAACAATGTTAAAAATCTGTTCTTTTGAAGCGGTTATTTCGTCACTCGGAAATTGATTACTTTATGTTTAAGATAAAAAAAAGATATGAAAGCTGAAATATCTTAATTATCTCACTTCAAATGTACTTAGCAATTCAAAAAACAAACCAGACCGGTAAAAATGACTCGGTAACAAAGGTTACCCCGCCAGCGCATATAAAATTTATGTGATTTTTTTACTTTTAACCAATTGTTTCTTCCTCGGCAAACGCGACTTCTCGGAAATTGCACCTATAAAAATCTCAGCCGGAAAAATAATCGGGATCGTTTTTGCAGTGATGGGAAAATCACATTGAATTGCATTAAATCGTTTTCTAATTTTCATTTTTGGCTGTGCTCTCAGCAAAGAAAAGTTGTGAAATATTAATGGAACATTTCGAATATTTAATGAAAGCACTTAAAAGCAGTAAAAAACAGGGCAAGGCGAGAATTTGGGAGGGAGTTTAATTAATTTAAGCGACTGTATTTTTCATAGGCAGCTGTGAGAACGGACAAAACAGCCAGAAAGGTAAATGGAGTGTATTTAAGATCAATTATTAAAATATTCCCCCTTTTATGCTTTTCAAATCAGTCTTTTAAAAGTCACTTAGCAGCGTCAAAAAAGTAACTGAGTTAATAGTCAAGATTGAAAAATAAAATAAAGGAAGCGTTCTCTGCTTGACTGACAAAGGGTATGAAATTAAGTGAATTAATTTGAAATATTTCGAGTTATTACTTTAAGGTTCGTCAGTTAGATCGCAGACTAACCCTCGAATCAAGTGGGAACAACCCCCCAACCGTTTAATTTATTTCCATCACTAAATCGTAAAGGGAATCAGTTTATTTCTCAGTCCAATATTTTATTTCTGAAGAAAAAAAAACGAATTTTACTGCTTTCATATTTTACAATAGATAAAAACAATGATGATATAAAAACATCTTGAGAAATTAAACCATAAATGTCGTCACACCTGAAAAGGTGCATTCTATTTCGGGACAGGTTTTCAAATCAGTGAACATTTAACATCCTCTGATTCGCTTTCACTTGCGCAATTAACTATTATTGATATGAATGTTTTTCATTCTTGTTTGCCTTTCACTCAATTTTTTCTTTATTTCGCCAAAAATTGAAATTTTCCTGGAACCTGCTAACTCCTTACTTCTCATGAATCGCTAAACAGCTTGCAACTTTTTTAAAAAATCATAAAGCGCTTCATTTTTTCATCGAGTTACTTTCAAAATCTGAAGTTATTTCGGAAAAAGTGGTTTCCTGAGATTTATGTATAATTTTGATTGGAGTTTCTACTGCAACCTGTGCTTCTAATTGAAGTAAATGTCCTGAAGTGACGAGCGAAAGACTTCCGCTTGACAATTGCTTTGGGCTAAAACGAAATAGACAAGTCTCACCGGAATTATTAACAGTCAAATCGTCTTTTTCTTCGCTAAAGACTTAATGAGATCTGAAGAACTGCTTTTGTCAATTAAGAGACAGAACCGTAAATAACTTCCACGTGAATAAAGAAAAAATTCTTTTTTTTTGTACCCACCCGCTTTGTGAAATCTTACAAAGGAGAGAAAAATGGAAAAAATCTTGACTTTAAATTAGACTCCCCGCGCGCGTCTACTTTGGAAAAACAATGGAAAACAAAGGAAGAATAAATAATGAGGGGCACCATTATACGACAGGGAGATTATAATCCCGAGTCATTATTTCTTATTAATGAGTGATCCAAGAGTTACTAACTGTTAAATTAGTCCAATTCCGAACCCCCTGCCCTCGCTTTTTAAAGAATACCTTACGCTGCCTTTAATTCCGCTAATTTCCTCTCAGAAAATCATTCTTTTGAAATCATTTCAAATTTTACCAGCTTTTTCACCATAACTGCTGCTATGCTCTTTTATTTTCTTATTATTTTGAAATAATGAGTTTTTCTAATTCTCATAAATTCAAAAAAATGCTGAAATTTCTTATTATATTTTGTTTATTGTCGTTTAGTTTTTGCGACGTTATTTATACAGGCGATCTCTTAAACTTGAGCGCCGAAAGTATATCCCACATGACCGAAACTCAACTAGCCGAACTCGATTGGGAAACGTTATGTCAAATAGTTACATCTGAAATGGTCGGCCCAGCTATCATTGTTCACGCCGTTTCTTCAACTGTTGGGAAAACTTGGTCTACATACGATTTTGCATCATGTTTACAAGAGAAAGTCCAAGACACGTCTAAAATGTCAGTCAATTTACGAATTGCAGCTCCTGAGTTTTTAGAATCAATACCCATCAAGAAATTTTACAATTCCAATTTTTTCCACAAATACGCGGGAATTTTGACGGAAGGCTTGAACGGAAACATTGCCGAGGAAGGAAACTGGCGCGTCAAAAGTGGGCTAAGTCAGTTTTATCTTGACGTGGTACCTCACACAAAGCTAGTGCGGGACTCGAACCTATGTCATGTTGTCTTCGACGCTATTAAAAATGACTTCTCAGTGTCATTTTGGAGACTCAGTGGCAAAACTAGTTCATGGAAATTATTTGCTTGCATGTCAACAGAAACAATTGAGTCGAAGCATTTTGAAATGCTTCCAGTTTTGGATCATCGGGACCTTCAAACAAGCACATGGTCCAAATTTGGATTGGCCAAACGAGTTTTCTCCGACAACCGAATTGTGAAAGAACTCGACTTTTTTCGAAACTACAGCTACCTTTTGGATTCAACGTGGTCTAGTGACTTTCTGCTAAATGTGTTTTCTGCTAAAACTGATGTTTTGACTGTGCAACAGATTACTGCGAAGAGTGAAAACTTCATAATATTTCAAAACATAGAATCTGGTCTAGTAAAATATTCGCGAATACCAAATTTATTTCTGGCGCAGCCAAATTGGTCACTGAACTCTGAAATCAAAATAGCGCTGAGAAATACTTTCAACAAGCCTGAAGAATTTCAAAAAATGATTATCGAACTGAACCAAATTCGACTCATAAGGACAAAACAGCTTTTGATCGCTGACTTGATCTCGGAGAAGATTAAGTTTGATTCTCAGAAAGACTCTTTTTACGATTATTTAGAATTTCTAGGACCAAATGTCGACGCAATTCCATTCGAAAATATCCAAAAACTCAGCACACAAGATGCAAAGGTCATTTCATTCTTCATTCTACAAGCCCAGAATCTGAATCAAGTTCAAAAATTTATTCACGCTCAGAAAACCCAGACACTAATCGGCGATTCAAACCTGCTCAAAAATCTGTTCAATTTCGGGCCTGAATATGTCGATGTTTTCGGACTTTTCAAATTCCGTGTTTTGGATTTGATGAGCGCGTTGGCCCAGCAATACTCGCCAGAAAAAGGGTTCCAAAAAGTAGACTTTTTCTCGAAAGAACTAGCCGCTATCAATTTGACTCCAACTTCTAAACGGTTCATTCTAGATTACACGAAAAACTTTGTCATAAATACAAATACTTCCAAAACTATCAGCGGTTTCGAGAATATCATTTCAGTAAATGATATTGAAAATATAAAGCCGAATGAACTATTAAATGTTCTGGCTGTGCTGGATAAATCTAAATTACCTCCGAAAGTGGTCGAACAGTTCGCGAAAATGATAATTAATTTACAAGGAATGTCGGGAATTCAAGACATTGATCAAAAACCAAACTTGGAAAAGTTTTCAAAATCCGAATTGCGATTAATTGGTGGAGAAATTTTGAGTCAAGTTGATGTTGAAAAATGGAGCTCTGTTGAAAAGGGCAGGTGTTTATACATAGTTCAACTAATCGGCCAAAATGACAATGTTTGCAGAACCACTGACGAAAAACAAAGAAGAGCTATCGTTACCCAATTGATAAATAAATGCAATCTTTCAGAAGATGAAAAGAAACCGCACTATCTTATGAGGCTTTTGGGGAACTTGATTGCTGACTACATAGGAGCTACAGATTTTGTGGATCATAAATACATCACTGATAATATCAATTTCTTGGAAAAGTCTTGTTGGACTTATGAAAATGGAAAAATTCTGCGAAATCGAATTTTTACTGAAAATATATTCAGCAAAATAGAATGGCCGAAAGTCATTTTGAGCTTGAACACCCAATTTTATAATTTACTTGAGCAAGAGTCAGAAATAAGGAGTTTAACCGATCTTGCTAAAACTGATCCTAGACTGAGAGAATCATTAATTTATCTTTCTAGGCAAACCCCCACAAATTTACGCGAGGAAAAATTCCATAAGATCCTGGTAAGCTCATTAATTTCCGAATTATTACCATCATACGAAAGTCGTTCGACGTGCTGGAGAATTGAACAACGAAACGAACTAACGTGTCACAAACTAAGAGCATTAGGCGACTCGATCAAGTTCGTCAACCAATCAGACTTGAGAAACATGAACGAGTGCGAGCTTCGAAGGTGTCTCGAGTTTATAACGAACAACAAATTCTCGACTGAACCCCAACTTAAAGTCCTTTTAGAAAAATTCAAAAGTTTTGAATACTGGAAAAATGAATTTATCAGCAAACGACAGCAAGTTGCGCTGTTAGGAAGAAGCTTAACTTATATGGACTCCGAGGACTTTCAACGTCTGAATCTTGACTTTTCCGACCGGAACATTCTGTTCCAATTAGGTCGAATCGACAATTGGAACAAAAACAGATTAGCAGAGATTACAACCCGAGTCAAAATTGAAACTGGATTACAAGTGAATGCATTGACAGCATTGGATGTGAAAACTTTAGGAAATATCATTTGTGGCTTCAACGTCGAAGAGCTTCTCAGTTTCCGACCGGACATTATCAAGCAAACAATTCAAGATCTCGGTTAGTTTTGAGAAGGTGTTTTTGTTTCAAATCAGTTTAAATTTTTCAAAATTGTAGCTGTCTATGCTTTGAGCTTAATATGCTGATCAAAAAACCCTTGTGTTTTCAAAGAAATGGTTGCTATTCGTTAAACGGGTTCAAAACAGACCGGCAAAACAGACCTTTTCTGAGAAACTTTTTATTGAGCAAATCATCAGCAATTATGCCTTATGAAAGTTTATACTTGTTTCAGGTAAACTGAACTCCTGCTCTCAAGATCAATTCAAATCCCTGACATACCCAGCAACCCTGGAATTCGGCCCCGTCCAGTCCTGGAAACCCAGCCTCATCCTAGAATCGGGAAACTTAGCCACAGGAGGGAGCTACAAAGTCCTAAAAGATTTGAGCGCCGCCCAACTTCAATTTATTGACGTTGACATACTGAAAAAAGTGACTGAAAAGGAGGAAAATCTGGACGAGGAATTCCTCAAAAAATTAGACCACTGCAAAATGTCGAAATTGGCCGTGAAAACAGATAGCAGTGAAAATGGAAACAGTTTCAACCAACAAAGTTACGTTACTTATAATATATTTTCCCCAAATGGTACCAAAATGAGCAACGGGAATGAAAAAGATGTCTGGAAACATGATAAAAACGAAATTACAAGTCTAATGCAAACTCAGATCATTTATATCGATAGCTATGCGTCGAAACGTTCGCTTCAGTTGATTGTATTAATTGTTGTATTTGTTAGCAGGGTTTTGTACTTTATTTGACCTCCAATTTGTAAATTTTCGCAAAATAATTTGAATATTTGAATTTTATTTGTTGTAAACTTAAAAGATCGTCAACGTGAGCCCATTACAAAATCTTCTCGGTTTATATACAGCGCGATTTGAAACCCTCGTTCTCAGCAGTTCGCGTTTTGAGAAGGCAGCGCTTGTCAAAAAAGCGCAATTCTCTGATCAAAACCGTTGCATACAGCCAGAAAGTGACATTATTGACATCTACAAAACTTGAATGCCAGGAAAAAATGTAAGGCTTTGGCGCTTTTGGAGAGATTGGAAAAAGTAGTTGGTCAATTTGAACAAAGTTCGACCAAATAATGAAAGAAATGATTAAAAAATCAAATACTCAACATATCTGGAAAACCTATAAAACTCTAGGTGCGGTTTAATGCCTGTATATTTCAGGCATTAAACCGTACCTAGAGTTTTATAGGTTTTCCAGATATGCGAAAAGAGACAAAAATGGATATCTCAAAATAGTACAAAAGAAAAACCGCAACCATCCCCCCTCCTCCCTAAATTCACTACTGCCTGTATGGCTGTATATACTATCACTTTAAGTACCAGTAGAAAGTCTCGGTAAATTCTCCGCACTCAGTAAAAAGAGAAAATAATCGATTAAAATATAATTTTAATCGTATATTTAGCAAAATTGTAATTAATTATAAGCGCCAATTTTAGATGTTTAAGCGATTTATAATCCATTATAATGATAACATTTTTAGTAACATTTTAATAAATCATAAACAATTATAATTTTTCCGAAAATCTCTTATAATCTCTTATAATCCATTATAATCTATTATAATAGATTATAATCCCTTTTTCTATCGAAATATTATTTCACAGGAAAAGTCAATTATAATGGATTCTAATTTAGCTATTCTGAATGAAATTACAGTAAAATTCAGTAAGAAGTAAAAATCAAAAATCAGCAAACTAGCGGCGGATCTACGATTTTTGCGAGGGAGGCCTCCTCAACCCTATAAAGGTTGACTAGATTTTGAAAAAAAACGGGCAAAAAAAGGCATTTTGAGGCACTTTTTGCAAAAATTTGACCAAAAAATTGCTTTTTTTTTCTAGCGCGCACCCCTAAAAGTTAATATATATTAAGCGCCATTAAAAAGTTTCAGGGTCAGTAAGCCACAAATGTATTTCTCAAACTAGTGGGGGGACCTCAAATAACTGGGGGGGGGGGATGGGGAGACCTTTTGGGTCGGCAGGGGGTCGAATCCCTGAGGCGCAGGGGGGGGGGGGGGGGGTTGGTTTCCCGACGCCCCCTTCCTAACTTCCCTGGTGGCTATGAGTACAAAATTACTGTTTCTTTTAGTTCTGTACCAACTGAAAGGCACACAAAACAAAACAACACTAAAACGAAATGAAGCGATGACGTTTGCTCAATAATAAGGGATTATAATCCATTATAATGGATTATAGTTAAATAAAATTTAAGGAATAAACTTTCATACAAAAATCGATTATAATCGATCACAATGAGTTTTATTGTTTCGAAAAATAGTAACATTATATTAGATTTTTAATCAATTATAATCAGTTCTTTCTGAAATTTATGGAGACGGACAATAAAAATCCATTATAATCTATTATTTTCTCTTTTTACTGAGTGCCGGTCCTTTATTCAGCTTACTAACTGCCCACTAATTCTCACTAATTTTTTTAACCAATTTTTGCTATTCGATCAATTTTCATCTACATATCACCGATCTGACCACCAGAGGATTTAGGGGGGGGGGCGGCGGTCGCCCCTTCCTTTGGGGATTCGCCCCTGCCTACCAAAGGGTCCCCCTTTGTACTATTTTGAGATATCGATTTTTGGCTGAAACTTTTCTAAAGGCGCCAAAGTTTTTTTGGTAAAATTTTTCCAAAAAGTCCCTAAAAACACTTTTTCTTTTTTTGGCCTGTTTTTTCAAAAATTTGCCTGCCGCGCAGAAAGTTTTGTCGAGCTGGAGTTTTTAGAAAGCTCATCAAATCAATATTTGTTTGAAATTTTTTTTAAAATCTGCCCCCCTCGAGAAAATCTTAGATCCGTCCCTGGTTCTGACTAATCCGATAATGTCATGCATCGCTTTGTAACACATGCAGGGAAGGATTTAGGGAAGGGGCGGCGGGACGCCTCCCCCTCAGGGATTAGACACCTTGCCGACCCAAAGGGTCCGCCTTTGTACTATTTTGAGATATTCATTTTTTGGTGAGGGACCTTAATTTTTTCTAGGGTCGCCTTGGCGCCAAGCCAGTAACGCCGACAAAATTAAAAAAAAAAATAAAAAACGCCGACAAAATTTTCTAATTTTTTTAAAAATCCGCCCCATCCTTGAGAAGATCCTAGATCCGCCCCTGGAAACCTACTTTCAATTTTATTGAAGATGTCTATGAAATCTTGGTAGTTCTGATGGACCGATGAACTATAATCTACCGAAATAATAAGAATGAAAAAGCTCCTTATTTCTAGTTCCAACATTCAAATTATACCAAGGTGTTGGAAACCAGATTGGAGAGTATGAGCAACTTTTGCAAAAAGAGACCGCGTTAATAATAGTCTGAAAAACTATAGTCAAATATCTAGATGATAGACCGATGAACTATAATCTACCGAAATAATGTGAATGAAAAAGCTTCTTATAACTAGTTCCAACATTCAATTTATACCAATGTGTTGGAAACCAGATTAGAGAGTATGAGCAGTTTTTGCAAAAAGAGAGACTTCGTTGAGAGACTTCGTTGAGAGATTTTTACAGCGATGACAACTATATCTTAGCCGGGGTTACTTATGGTCCCGCAAAAATGGTTGTCTTTTACCAGCGTGACAGTGGCGCCTGACTTTTTATTTATATCACGCTCTTCTGAAGCTGATTTTTCTGCAATTCAAAGAATTTGTTCTTTTGCATAAAATGATGAAAGAGTTTAGAGTGATATTTAATTCAACAGTAAATATCAAAATTGTGCAGTTTGAGAATTGCCATTTCGGAATTAAAGTAGCCAGCGTGTACTAATTGTGTAATTAGCTAAGTGTGTAATTTTTCAGCTTGTCTTGTAAGCATATACTTTTTGAGTTTTTGAATTGTTGTTCTGAATGTTTTCGTAAATCTTTTCGTAAATCTTTTGACAATTCAAAATAAACAGTTCTTCGAATTTTGTAAAAAGAAACATTTCTGTAAGATTATCATCTCCCATTGAGTCTGTTGGTCTGTAGTCGAAGACAGTGATGAAAAAAGTCGCATGAAGACAATGAGCAATTTAAAAAATTTAAGTGCCCTCAATTTTGTTTTGCTCGTAAAAGTAGCCTGTTGTTGAGCGTCTGATATCTGTTTGGTAGCTCTATTCAGCGTCTGCTTCTATAAGTAGTTCAGGATCATGATCAGTGGGATAGGCAACTCAGTGTTTAATAGCATGCAAGTGCATGAAGTGCAGTAGTATATCGGGCCAAATTTGCGTTGCTAGGAATAACCTGCTAAACTTCTTAAGTGCATGGCATCCGCAATCTGAGAGTTTTATGCTTAATTAACTTCCTCAGATTTACTATTGCTGGTGTTTTGAACGGCTTACAATCTTGCTTAAATTTTGCTAGCATGCTTTTTGGATGAAACTGCTGAGCTCAAATGACAGGGTTTTTAGCTTTTTCAATTCGCATTCCTAGAAGCCACTCAGATTTTCATCGATCGTCCAATCGAAACTTGCTTTTGTATTTAGCTTTTACATTCGCCATATCTGGTTAATGAGAACCAGTAAATATAACATCATCCAACCATTAGAAACTTAAAAAGTCCTGTCTGCCTCAATCCTATAGATTGAGCAATAGTTTTTTTTGCTTCTGCCAACGTTTTGCTTAATGAAAGAAATTCAGATTTCTTGATACAATTATTTGGCTACTTAATTTAGTTTCTATAGTGAAGTGTGTAATTTAAAAACTAGCGGTTTCCCAAATTGAGAGCGTTTTTCAAAACCTTTAAGCTGCTCCAATTTTTAAGTTGGCATGAAGGCATGCCGACAAGATATCTAATGGTTTAAGCTTGAAATGTTTGTTGGCTCCTGAAGCTAGTTTTTCCAGACGGTGAGAAGCTTCAGATGAGGAAATGCAATTTTAAACTCTTGATCTGTAATTGAAACTCCTGAAAGAGTTTTTTGCTCATTTTGTATTAGTACTGGAATGTTTAAAGAGCGAGTGTTTAACTGCAATAAGTGGTACAAAAATAACTAAACTTTTTTGTTCGTGAATCCTTATAACCAGTTACAAATTGTTTTTCTACTTCACTGGTTTCTTCATTTGATGATTCTATATCTGTCTTTGTGTAGGTTTTTTTAATTTATCTGGTTTGTCCGCTTTTAAAATCGGTTCGTTAAGTGCACTTAACTCATTGCTTGAACTTGAGTCGACCTTGAAAAATTCGTCTGTTTGGCTTTGTACTAAGGCAATTTCACGTTGAGCAGGAAATAATGTGTTCATTTAGCATTCCTCATTCTCTATATGCGTCTGTTGTCTAAATAAATTGCACAATTGGCGTCGTTGGTAAGGAAAATGTATTTTTTTTGACCTTGGGTCATCTTTTGATTTCAGTTTATCGTTTGATTTTACGTATGCAGAACATGCAAAAGCTTTTAAGTATTTTGATTTGATCTTTTTTTCTAAAATTTTGAAACGTTGAAGTTATATCAATAATTTTTTTTTACTGAGTTACAACTGAGCCTGCTATCAAAATAGATCAAAACAGATTTCGAATTCCAAACAAAAATTTCAAGTTGCTCAGAATGTATTAACAGTTCGTTTTGCTGCTTTTAGAACTAAATATTTCACAACATTTTTTAGATTTCCGATAAGAAACTCATCAGTCTTTAAAATAAAGAAAAAAGATGAAAAATTAAAGCAGAAACAAAACAATTTCAGATGTTTACTTTGCGAGATTGCGACAAAATGCAGCTCAGCAAAGTTCGTTTCGATAAATACTTGAAAAAAAATCGAATGCAGTTTCTTTTTTATGACTGAGAAAACTT